GTTATTCTCTGCCACATTAGAATTTAAAACATTATTATTCGATTTATTGATTTATGTTTATGCATCACAGAACTGATTCATTGTTCTCATTAACCTTTTAGATACTTTGTTCATTGTGCACGTAGGCAATCGTAGTTGGCAGGTACATGCATCTTACGTGATAAAGGAATAGAGATAAGATCACCCGACAAAGGTATCATTTGACCATTGCCCTTTTTGAACTTTCCCATTGGCATAGTAAAGCGTGCCTTGTCCGTTCTTCTTGCCATCTTTGAATTGTCCCTCATATCGATCGCCACTGGGCCATGTATAAACGCCTTGACCTGCTTGCTTGTCATCGACCCAATCACCTGTATACTTGTTCCCATTGGCAAAGTCATACGTTCCTTTTCCGTTCTTCTTGCCATCCTTGTATTGTCCCTCATATCGATCGCCATTGGGCCATATATAAACGCCTTGACCTACTTTCTTGTCATCGACCAAATCACCTGTATACTTGTTCCCACTAGCATAGTAATACGTTCCTTTTCCGTTCATTTTGCCATCCTTGTATTGTCCCTCATATCGATCGCCATTGGGCCATGTATAAACGCCTTGACCTGCTTGCTTGTCATCGACCCAATCACCTTTATACTTGTTCCCATTAGCATAGTAATACGTTCCTTTTCCGTATTTTTTTCCATTCTTCCATTCTCCTTAGTCGTTGTTCTCTTACGATGTGAAAGAATCCACAAGTTTCCATCAACACTGAATCTTGATACTTGTCGACATATGATTTTTGAACTGTAGTATCGTATTTGTTTCCATGTGCATCAGTCCAGATTTTAAATGTTGAAGACTTGTCACTTGGCAATGTTTCTTTGTAATCTAGCAAACAACAATCAATTTCTTCTTAGCCCGTTAGAAGAAGCTACTCACCCACTGATGGCTTCACTGATGTAGTGACGTCCATATTTGCAAAGGATGATGTTAATTCTTGATCATTTTCATCAGTCAATTCGCGCAAATGTATCACGTTTAATGATGCATGATCTAGTGCGTCGCTAACAACACGAAATCTAGTACCTAATGGAAGAATAACTTCATTTTCTTGTGGAAAGTTACTATACGTTGATATAGCTTTTCCGTTTTTGGCTTCCACCATGAGTAATGTCGATACAGATCCAAGAAATTGTTTGACGACTTTAACTGTAGATGAACATGAACTAAAACACCACCAAGTTATTTCATCATCTTCTTTGTAGTTCTTACTAATGTCACCATTGATACCACGCCATAAGTTGATTTGGAGACTAGGTAGTTTTTTTAATGCAGTGTCAAATAATTTGAGATAACCATGCCATGGTACTAATACTGATCGATCTTTCTCACGAAGCACTGCATTAAGTACTCGATAGAGACTTTGTTCACCCCAATCCATAGTATAAAGGTAGATCGTTGCTGATTCTTCACGAGTAAGACCATGTTCTGAGGGAAAATGACATTCAGTCTTTGCAATTTTAATAAACTCATCTAGTTGGTCTATTCGAGAGACGATAGGATCAAGAGCTTGTCGAAGTGGAAGCAGTGGATGAGTGCGATATCCATAGACAGGTGGAAGCCTTGTTGGTTTATGATCGACGTTAGTGAATCGAAGCATTATTATAGAATATGCAGAATACCTTTGTTGATCTTAATGATATCTTGTTCACATGTGATGTTAATACGATGTTAAGAAAGTAAGATTATAAAACCTGTCGTACTTTTTTATTTTAAATTTGAATTACTGCGTTCGTTTATATATAAAACCAACGAAAACAGCATTCTCTCTCTTCGTGTGTTCTTTTCGAGTAAAATGAATTTCTTAGATAAGATAAAAGGGGTATTACATCAAAAGTGAAGATCATTTGCTGACATTGTTTTATGGAGACCGATATCACTCACGAAAGAAAAGGTAAAATGAGATACGAAGAAAGAACAGGATAAGAGTAACGTAGAGAATGAATATGTGAAAAGTTTACCAGTAGTCGAAATATATTATGATCGAATATTAACGCTAGGTATAATTGAAATTATTAAATATTTAATGGTGCAGTTGAATTTCAAATACATTAAATCTTGATGATGAGTTTTAAAAAGATTTCTCTCATGTTTAAGTCATGAGGTGTTTAATATCGTTTTTGTAATTTAAAATTAGAGTTTGGCTTCGTAGCATATAAGATGATGCCTTCGAGTTAAATAACCGTATAATGCTCAAAAAGTTGTGAGATATTCAAACCATTAAAGTCGAAAATATAATTGACTAAGCAGAGGAAAGCGTGCCTCTCATTTTCGTCTAGATCTCACCATTCAACATAATCATTTTGTTTGAATCTCACGATATAGTTCTGATTACAAAGATGTTTAGTAATATTTTAAAACAACACGACATAGTTTCTTTTACTTCGTATGAAATCGCGTTTTATGTCAATTTCAACAAAGTTCTGATGGCTCTATGCAAATCGCGATAAGATCGTATTTTTTTCTTACGTTTTAAGATCTGTTTTAAATTAAATCTTTGAAGATGAATGAAATCTAGATCAGTGACTTCTGTTAGAACGTGAATTCATTTATAGAAAATCAAACTAATAATACTATCATTGAATCTTCGAAGGTTCTTTTTTTTATTCACAATCCATTAAGTTTGCTTTCTCTGGCACGTATATGCATTAACAAATCATTTCTCATACTGAATCAAAACAAAACAAAAAGAAAGACATTCATCCGTGTTGTCGAGAAGGCAAGCAGAACAGCCGTGGATTCTTTTCTATGGTGATGAAGAAAAACACTGAATCAACATGACGTCTTGCAAGTTGGAAAGACATAACGTGCACACCTGCATGAATGTATTCAGAGTGGCCGATACTTGTTTCTCTTTCGTATAAAGTGCTTCTTTGAAGTGCCACTCATCCATTTTCAATACAGAGCAAAGTATTTCGTGAGCGCTTGGTTGGAATTTTTTTTTGCGAGTCATATCTGTATTAAAGAGAAGAATGAATCTTGACTGTTGAAAGAACAAGTAGAATATATCAAAATAAATTGTAAAATGCAAAAAAAATCCGAATTTCACCAGTGGTATATGAACATCCTTTTCATGAATGCATTCCCCGAAATTAAAACTTTTATGCTAATCGAAAATTTTAACAGTAGGAAACTTTCAACAGTATTGTTGAAACAAAAATCGCATCATTATATAATTACATTAACGGTTCTCGTCTCAGTGTCCTATCATCTGATTTTTTTTCTATCATAAGGAATATTCATTGATACACAAATATGTTCACAGTAATGATACATACTTGATTTAGGCGAAAAATGTTATTAACCAAACTTTTGAGAATTTAGATATCACAAACGTCTACAAATACATCTCATTTATGCTTTTACTCTTGACTAATGACATATGCTGTTCCTAGATTCATAGATCATATTTCTGTCTATACTATTCTTGATGAAAATATTTTCGCATTTTCAATTAAATCGAATAGAAAAAGAACATCCCCAAGTGAAATATGTTATTCATTTACAAAGCGTTCTCTATTTGAAATTTTTTGTTAAAAAGAAAAGTCTGTTTGTTCAATAGTCATAATTGCATGAAATAGAAGATCAAAGAATTTATTCATCTGAAAATAACACAAATATAACACTATCATAGTTGTAACATAGTGTCTTTTAAAACGAAGTAAAAAAATGCAAGGCATTTTTCGAGATGAATATCAAGGAATTTACTTTAATCATCTCGACTTAATTGCATATACAGCAACGGGTATCCATGTCGTAAACGTGGATCAAAACAAAAACAAAATATTAATTTGTGTTAGGTTTGTGATCGATGGCTAACAACAGTTATTGCTTTCATTAGCAGAGTGTTATCGGGTAAAAACTTTCCAATAATATGATTAATGTTTCAGCTAATCGACAAGTTATTGAACAATCACCAAATGACCAATTAGTCGTATGATTAAGTAGATTATAATCGCTATTAACTACAGACCACGAAAATAAAGAGGTTTAACTGGTAGTTTTCAATCAAACCATACGGCATCGCTATGAAATTGAGTGATTATTTTGTATACACATTTCATGAACAAAAGCCCAAAAAGTTAATTAATGGAGTCAAGAAGGAACGAGATTCATTTTCTAAAATATATTTTAAAGTCCCTTAAGATAAACGGATATTTGTTGTTCATTGCATGCCGAAGTCATTGGCAACGATCAGCTTAAATGTTGAAATAAATGTCATATAATATAACACATTGCTTATTACTTTACTTAATATTAAGTTTCATGCTTGTCGAATAACCTTCAAGATCCTTAATAATTTTTTTCCGATATTGACTATGTAATTCAAAAATAATAAATTTTCCATCCATTTCAACATCAACTGGATGCACTAGACAGGAATAAAGTGAAAAAACGATACTAATCATCTCGTGTCAAACAAAAACATCTATTTTTGTGTAGTCTCCATGAAAAATTGAGTATTTCTATTAACAAAATGTGAAATAATTACTATGTATCTTTATCTCTTCTTTATTAGACTTCTGAGTAATCAGAATTCAATCTTATAGTATCAAATCAAACCTCCTTGATTGAAGCCTCAGGTCTTAACTGACTAAAAGATAAAAACGAAGCAGAGAAAAATAAAACATTTTTTTTCAATCAAACGTGGCATTTACATCATCGACCAAACAAATGATGAACCCAAACTCTTCTCAGATTTTTTTCAACATCATCAAATTCTATTTAATAACTAGAAGATAGAGTCTCATGTGTCAATTGAAAGTTAGAAAATGTTGCCTTGTTAAAAATTATGAAGCAACGATTCCGACATTTAATGAATGCAAATGCTCAATAGCTATATACATTTCTTAATATTGGTTAAATTTAAAGATCCCTACTTTCAATGTTTCACACATACCCAAAAAGACAAAGACCATCGTTGTTCTCCTCATGAAAGAGATAGTTGATAATGACACTGCACTCATCCTTCTGGCCTCAAAACATTTGCTGAAAGCACTTTCGATCATTTGGTTTTTTATTATTAGCTTCATATTGACTACAAAAGTCTAATTAGTTTATGATTAATACCGTGAAAAAGTAGTTATAATTATCACAATCAATTGATTCGTACAATATCGATCATATTTTTCCGCTGATTCATTCATACGCAATGTAATTATAAAGGATCTTTGTTTACAACTGACACTATTTATGAATCTTATACGTTTGGAGATCTAGATGTCTCCTCTTCTACTGATCTATTTATTCGATACAGATCTGCTCTTACTTTTAAAATTTCCTAACAAAAAAGCTACGTGCTTTTCAGTCTTTGTCAAATCAGATATCATATTGAATAATACTGTCTTATAAGAATTTCACAGATGTATCGTTTGATATAAGATGTTTCGTTTTCCATGTTGATAATATTCACCTTTAGTTTTGTATAAAGAGAGATATCGATCTAAGGTACAGTCAACAGTTAATTTTGTCGAAAAATAGATATGAATCTAACAATGGAGGTGTGTGTTGTAATTCAAGGACATTGAGCATATTCGGATCAAATTAGTTCATATATAGTTTAGACATAAGAATGAGAAAAGAAACATGAATAATATTCATACTCAGTTTTTTTACAATTTCTTTTCAAATCTTAAAGGACTCACCCGGATTTGGTGGCCATTTACATCAGATGATCAGGAATGTTGTGCCGATTATTGTTAATATATCTTCAATATGCCAGCTCTTTCGTATAAGAAAATAGACTAGACAATGTGCAGTGATTGTGAAAGTTTCACGTTGATACTCACTTATTATATAATACAAAGTTGAACACACTGTATTATTATATAGGGGAAAAAAAAGCATAGACCTAAGGAAAGGGATCCTTCTGAAGTATGAAGAAAATAACGAGTAAAAGTATTGATTATCCAAAATTGAAGAGCATCTATAACTGTATCTCAATGAGTTTAAAAAGAATCTCCTAAATTTATCTTAGAATATCCTATATATTACAATGTCTATAAGTATCCTACAATACTCTTCAAGCATTGTAACCACTTTATCAACCTTCTCGACACGAAAATTCTCATAAAAACTTGATGTCTTATATATCATTCCATGCGCTGCAAGTTGTCCTAGAAAATCACATATATGGCATCCTAGTTCAGGATAGGCCACTAAATCCGTCGAGATTCTTTACGATCCAAAAATAAATAAATTATAAAAAGTGTGAATGATGAATAATTCACATTTTTTTTTGTTTTTATGTCTAAACTGTATGTATTCATTGAAATTCAAATACCTCGGCTTAGGTATGGTATAAGCAGTTCATATTGTAAATTTGTTAGATTGACAGTGAGACCTTTAGTTTGACCTGAATATGTCCAATATCCTTGAATTATACCACACACACTTATATTTGTAGATCAAAATGCATATCATCATATACAAGAGATGGAAGGAAGTAGTTGTTATTAGCATATAACATTAATATGATTCTAATGAAATAGAGAATTTAATTTAATATAGATACAATATGAACTTGATGATGGTTAGGACAATGAATAATCTTTTTGTTTACTCTTCTCATTGTCATCAGATGAGTAATTAAATTATTTA